AATTTATTTACGCAGTTTGTAAACACACTTCTTAATTTGCCTTTAATGATGTACAACACTTAAATTCGAAAATACTGCAAAGACTTATACAATTATCGATATATGTATTATATTCAGTATATCATATGCCAAACGAAATGTTAATAGATAAATCAAGGTCGAGTACTCACCTTGGAGATCAATCGTTGAGGACGCCGGTGACTAGGGATGACCCACGAATAGTGTCACAACGAAATTGTCGGAGCACGTTCGTTAAATGCGACGAATCAGCCCACGCCTTCTCGTGAAAATTACTGACTGCGTGTCGACTTGCCGGGACGAAGCTTCGTGAGGTTCTGATGAGTTTTGATGAAGAAGGGTCCATCCGACGAGGGCGCTTCAAATGGGAATCATGCCATCGCGCCGACTCCGAAAAGTCTGCGAAGCTGATGCGTCGCAAATGCTTTGTAGAAGGGATGCATCATCGATCGTTTCGTACTAGGTGAGGTCTACGTCCTTTAGATACCAGATTCCCTTCTCTTACAATAACTTGTGCTTTCAATAGCAAATGTAGGTAACAAGAGATCAGCAGTCATCATTTCCTTGTTATTTTCATCAACTGACATACTTCTTATCCATGAATCCTTTGACTAATTTAGAGCTAATATTTTCTTAATAAAAGTGTGAAGAGAGATAAATCATTAATTTTCAAATTAGTCACATGTAATGCCTAGGGATTTTCACGAATTAAGTTTCTAAAATAGTAATTTAAATAAAAATATCTAATGCAAAAAACTTGACGTTAGATCAAATGTGATGTGATAAATAAATGAGTATATACGTGTGCCATTTTAGTGTGTGTGTGTGTGTGTGTGTGTGTGTGTGTGTGTGTGTGTGTGTGTATGTGTGTGTGTGTGTGTGTGTGTGTATATGTATATATGCGATTTAATTAAACAATATATAAAGTATATGTTAGAATTAAAAATCAATTTTATAAGTGTAAGAAAGATATAGATAATTTATAAGTTAAAAATTATCATAAATTTCATTATTAGCAAATTTTATTTTTTATGATCTAAATTAAAGATTATCTGTTTTCATTATCTTATAGTCTAAGGTTATATTCTAAGGTTCTAACAATGTCAAGTTTTTTACGTTAAATATTTTTTTATTTTAACTTTTTTTTATTTTAATTCAATTGTTTTTTTGTATGTCTTTTATTTATTCTTTTTAATTTTTCTCTTATTTTTCTAATATATTTTTTTATTCCATAAAGGATACATTTAATTTTTCATATCTTCAAGATTGCTTTATAAAAATAATATGTACCAAAATTGATCACATAGATATATGTGTGTATATATGTACTATTATATTGTTATTATCTAAAAAATTGATATACGTATTTTGATTGATTGTATATCAATTGATTGATATACATAGAGTTATATTATGATGTCGATACGAGAATAATTGATGTTTTTACAGTTTTTAATATTGAAGACTGTTATACCTATAAAAATACATACCTATAAAAATACATATTGATATCTTATATGTAGCATAAGATTTTCATGTGCAATATTCAAGAATAGAATGATACAAATGTGTATTTAACAACAGTAGATTATAATTTAACATCTGATAAGATTGAAAACACATTGGTAATGTTAAATCATTGAATTCCTAAATTACTTAAAATATGAATATATTTCTAGAAAATATTTCTAACTTAATTTTTTTAATCAAATTAGAATTAGGTCTGAAAATTAATTAGGAAAATAGTTCTGATATAAATCGTGTAATATAGATTATGTATAGATTATGTAGATTATGCAGCGACGGTAGAAAAACAAGAAAATCTACTTTCGTCTGAGCTCTCGCTTGGTATATTAGGGATTCACTAGCATCAGCTCATGGTACAGATTGTCTAATGCATATACGTTGTTTACGTTGAAAAAATATATCTTATAATTTATATATATTTATTTCATATATATATCTTTCTGAATTTCATAAAATATGTTTTAATGATACATGTGTTATCCAACTTGTGTTGTAATGCTTGTTATCCAGGTTAGTAATGCTCAAAAGCAAAATATTTGCAGCATGCTGATATTTGACAGCAAATTTGATTTATCACACACACACACACACACACACACACACACACGCGCGCGCGCGCGCGCGCGCGCGCGCGCACAGTATGTTGATATAATCTTGAGTTAATTATGTGGAATGAGATGCCTAAAATGAAAAAGTCAAAACAAGAAAATTAATGAGATAGGTAATTTTAAAATCACGCAAATTTACAAATACTCCTTTAGAGAATGGGAGAAAAGAGGTCAAATTTTTTTAAATAATCTTCCTATAAAAATAATATCTATCGGACTCGAAAAGATGAATCCAACGATCTATATTTTTATATATTTATTTTGAAAATTACGTCCGCAATAAATTTTTGAAAATAGCTTACGAAGGGAATGTCTGTTCGATCAATCTGTCTACGAAGATATCTCTGAAAGGTATGGGAGTGAACGAAATATCAAAAAAAGGACCTTTCATGGGGTTATATTGAGATAATTTTCAGCAAAACGAAACCGTATCTTTTTTTATTGGATTTATAAGAAGGAAAGAGGGTCAAACTTTTTTAATGACAACCTCCTACAAAAATAACACTAATCAATAGAGCTTGAAAGTACGAATTCTAAGATTCCTTCGTGACTCTCTTGCAAGCGTTATTGCTTTTCAAACAATTATAAATAATACAATTTTACATAGCTTTCAGAGATATCTACACAGATATCAATGGACAGATTAAACAGACATCAATACCGTAGGCTATTTCCAAAAATTCACTACGATCGTAATTTTCAAGATAAATATAAATATAAAAGTATTCCATTGGATTCGTTTCTTCGAGCCCTATCGATTGGTCTTACTTTTTTAAAGGAATGATATTTAAGAAATTTGATCCCTCTTTCCCCTCTTCTCAGAGGAATATCCATATGACTTGACTTAAAATTGCCTATTGATTACCTCGTTAATTTTCCTATTTTGACTTTTTCATTTGAAGTATTATATTCCACAATTCACGCTAACAGATTTAAATCGAACACCCTGTATATGCAGGGAATTGGTATTAATTGTGAAACTATTGAAGTATTATGCATGGCAATATGTAGAAGTAATATTATTATGTCTGAAGAATCATGCATTATTATTAAGATTTAAAGATTTAAGATTAAAAAAAGTAATAAGACATTTGTCATGAAACGTAGATGCAAATAAAAGAAAGAATGAAGAATACATTTCAAAAAGTGATTTTCCGTTACAAAGTACGATTTAATTTATTTTCTATTGTAACATCTTCTCTTATAAATTTGCAATTTCTCTTGTAATAAAATGGAAAATTTTGCAATAGATGAGCTTAACGGGAAGTTAACTTTAATAAGAATGCTTCAGTGTTAAGATTCGTCTCTTATTTACTGCAATAAACGTGGCACAATACTGCAAATTTTCTGTCGACGGAATAAAGATCTTTATTGTTCACAAATCTCATTTTCTATACTATTGGGAACGGTCAGTACAAAAACATCTTTCTTCATGAAAACATTTATAGATACAATAGAATACGTATATTATTTTCAATCGCTTCTTCCGATAAGAATTTATTTATAAAATAAATGTATTTATTATCGATGTCAATATTTCTTTAAATATACAATTAGCATAAATATGTGATAAATATAAATATTTAATATAAAATCTTATGTACCTACAAATGTTTAAAGTATTGATATTTTTATGTACAAAAAATTTGAGCAAGAATACTGACTCGATAGATACAAATTCTTGATTCTTGCCAATAGATTCGCAAATATGCTTTATTTACTATCAACCTCATTCCCATTTTTATCGATAAGATGGTTTAATAGAAACTTGGGGAAATAAAATACGCATGTTTCATGATGCAATCGAAAGAATACATCAATGGCGGATGCGCTCATACTCTGCTTCTGCAGATACCAAACGGCATACGAAAACTCGTATTTTTCGCGAATTTTATGATAGAACTGCAAATGCATAAAAAAAATTAGACTGCATAATTCTTTTTTACGATTCTACTGGCGTATCCATAACCAATGCGCCGCGTAAGCCGAATTATCGTAAAATTTAAACGTTTCTTATATACAGAAAAGCGTACGTGATGAGTCTTTATAAATTTCTGAAATTTCATTACCGAGCCATTACCGAATTTTATCGATGTCAAATTCGATGAATTTAACTATAATTTTTTCTTTATCTCAGATTTGTTCATCTTTACTTTATTTTGCAGCGTTGCAAAATTTCTTATCGTGAATTTAATCATTAAAATTTTAACAAACATAATATGCACAAAATAATTGTTAAAAAATGTTTAAGTATAAATTTTCTTTGTAAAAGAATAAAAAATTATTAGCAATTTGTTTCTTATATCTCTCATTTCTGTTCTTTTGATATTTCATTTGCAGTAATGTCATACTAATAAAAATTCGAAAAATAATTTATAAATCGTTGCAAGATATACATGTGTTAATTTATATTATACTACAATTACCAATATGAATATGGAATTTTATAATGTTATTAAAAGAAACCGGTGCATAATATTGTTGTGACCGAGCGATGATCCGCTCGCTTTTGGCCCCCGAGTAATATTAAGAAGATCGTTCCTTGCCAACGCGCCGTTGTTTATGTTTATTGATTGATTAGTGAGATTCGTCGGAGAGAATTGTGAGATGGGTTTGAGAGAAAACCCGCTAGCGAAATACGAGCGCGAAATTGTATCACGACCTGTGTATTTAGTTGTTGTGCTTATTAAAGTTCGTTGTTTTGTACGGCCTCTGTTTATTTCCGCGTGACGCGCGAGTACGAGTTGTGATCGCCGCGGAAGTGCGACAACAATATTAATGTTAATGTAATTAAAAAAAAATTATTATTACACATATCATTGCACATGTAAAATAATATTAACAAATTTTCCATACGTTTTTTTTTTTTTATGATAAAAAATACATTATTTAATATAACATTGTGCGTATGCTTTCTTTTGTTAAAAAAATATTTCTTTATCTTCATAAAATCGAGAATGATATACAAAGCGTTCGTTGACATTGCGAATTTTATAGTAATTTGCTTGTCTCTTCTGTCTCTCAAAAAGAATCGACAACATCGTTATCTATCGAGAACACAATAGAATGTGTTGCTGTGAGATAAATGAGAAACATGCGCGACTTGAAAAAGAAAATATATCGAGGTATATTTTCTTATAAGAAGTAGGAAATAATGATTCTCCATTAATATCGAACATATCTGCAAAATAATGAGCTTATTCTTTCCAAAGGAATACT